TGTACCAGCTGAACAAAAGTCACCTGGATCTCCATTTCTTCATCTGTAAAATAGGGACTACATTAGTACCTATTCACAGGGCCATTGCGAGGGTTCTTCTGTCTCCAGGCTTATATAGGTATCTGTGGGCACATCGTAAATATTTTTAATGAGTGAACTATTGTGAATTGTTACTATGTTTACACCCGTATGTTTATTTGTGTTGGAAAAGTCTCTGAAGAGGAATTTATGACTGAAGAGCTTTTGATACATTATTCTAGATTAAGGTCTAGAACAGAGGTGGTAATCTGCTCTCCCACAGATGTGCATGTGAGTGCTAGTTTTCATGAAAAGAGAGAGGTTATCACCATCCCAGTAAATACCAGACTCATCCTTGTTGGCACCTTACTTCCTGACTGAGGCCGCACAGTTTTTTCCTAGTTTAATATCCCTGAAATCAGAATGCTTCTAACCATCAGAGTCAACTGAGTGGCTCCCATGATGTGGCAGGGTGAAGGCTTCTGTTCACAATGACTGAGATCAAGAAAAGCTGTCAGTGTGTCTTAACACCTGTGAAATTCAAGTTTGATAGGGAACAGGGCAAACATATATAAAAGTTGTGATCTGAGTGCAAGATAAGTTTCATGGAAAATATATACTGATGCCTTTTTCAGAGAGCATCTCAGATTGGGTCTGAAAAAAATGTACCTGAAGGACAGAGGTTTCTGGGCTGAGCTTGGAAGACTGGTGAGGGCCAATGAAAGGAGAGGGTATCTCTCCATGTCTGCTTATTTCTATACTTACTACTTTTGTTGTACAGAGGAAGATGATAGTGCAGTAGAAGAAGGCGTTCATGGGCATTTGCCATTTCAAAGCCTTGTGACTGTTGTATGTATCATTCTCTCTGAATATTTTACCTCCTGCAGCTTCCTCCCTTTCCACTGCCCCTCTTCCTATGTTCAAATCCTCCATCCTTTACTTAAGTAGGGCACACTCTGCCTTTAGGTCTCAGCCTGGACGTCATTTTAGTTGGAGAGCCTTTCACAGTTCAACAACACTGGTTAGGGGTCATCCCTGTGTTTCTGTTGTATCGCATCCATATTCCTACTCTATGGATTATCACAGGGTATTTTATTGTCTAAGAACTTAAGGCCTCTGCTGATAACCTGTAAGCTTCTAGAAGCAGGCATTCTACCATTCTCCTTTGAACTCTAAGCCTAGTACCATGGCTAGCACATGGCGGGCCCTTGAGAGATAAAAACAGAGTGAATTTCAGTACTCAGCCTGCAGATGTAAACTATGGTTACAGGTGTCACTGGAAGTTGTTGCTATAAGGGCTCTAGGGTGAGCCCATTGTCTTGCAAGGACCCAGTGCTCCACTAGTTGTCACTGAGGGTTGTAGCATGGACCCTGTACTTCTGGCCACAGTAGTTTAAGCTTCCTTTTATTTCTATCTTATTGTGAGAGCTTATTAGAGCATGCTATCTGTGCTGTCTGAGACCCTCATTAAGCTGCCCCCTGAAACAGCTGTATGAATCTGAGTACACTCTGTCTAGAGCGCACTTCTAGCTGTTAGCATAACTCAACAAGAGATGAAACCAGAAGCTGAAAACGAGTCCCTTTTGAGTATTAGGGTTCTTTTCAGTTTGTTCTAAAACAAAAGTTTGTTCATATACCTTTTCCTATTAGAATATCCCATCTATTGCCATGTTAATATTAACTACTTTTTTTTTTTTAAGTTGTCAGTTGAGAGTAACCATCCCAGTCACTTTTTCTTCAGGAGTGAACCACTTGGCCCTTGAGATTAGATCGAGGTAGTAAGTAAAAAATGTGAACTGATTTGACCTCAGAGTCTCTGAACTGTCTTTCCAAACACAGTGCATGAATTCGGGATAACTGGTCAACCTTGGCATTCAAAAGGAACAAATTCTGCTTCTAGTCTAGACAGTCAACATATTCTAGTGTTTGGAGTAATCAGGCTTTTGTGTCATAAACTGTAAAAATGGATGTGTAGCAATAGTTAAATATGACACACGAAGAAAGAAAAGGAAGTCCCAGTGATGCCTAAATTCAAGCCAGGCTTCCATATCTGACTTGTTCTACTTCCTGCTTATTTGTCTGTACACTTTTGTATGTGGATTTTTCCCTCAGCACAGCTTATGTTGATGCCCAGTATTCACACTGTGAGGCCCATGTATCAGTGGCCTGTTAGAGAAACACAGCCCCAAGGAGAGAAGCTGTCACTTCAAAGCATGCCACAGTGCTTAGATGGAGCCAGGAAATTAACCATGTCGGCATGATAATATATCCTTAAAAGCCTGAAACGCTTTCTTTGATGCTGAGAGTTATCATTTTCTGCTATGAACTTGTTTCTGTCATGAGGAGGTATCTTAAGGGTTTTTGTTTTTTTGTCGTTTGCATTTATCTAACCCCAAGAAAATAGAAGTGGTCTCTGCCTGACTGCTCCTCTGGGAGAGAAATTGTTGAATGGGATGTGGAAATGTGGCACAAGGAAGAAGAGAGACCAGTTCTGTCCCCTCAGTACCTTGACTTCTTCCCACCACTCTTCTGATGTTGTGAAACACATTCTATAAAATGTATGTGCTCCAGCTCACCCTTATCCCAGTGTCACTGTGGGGAAAAAGAACTCTATGCCATTATGGTTGTTGCTTTCTAAATGCTTCTGACACAATTTGGATGTCCTTATCAAGGTAGTTTTATTAGCTAAGATTGTATTAATCTGCCATGATACAATAAGAAAAAAATGAATAATTTAATATCTGAGGTTCCCAGAAGTTGAGAGAAATATGAAAACTTTAGGGAGGGTTGAGCAAAGAAAATGAGTGAAATTGAACAGACTTTTAAAAAAATTAAGTAAAAATTATTGAGGGAGTAGTTAGCCTGCAAAGAGCAAGGTCAAGGATGCATTCACATTTTAGGAATAAGATCATTTCTAGTACAGACAACAGTGATGAACCATGTCAGACAGACCATGAGGAAGACAGAACAAAAAAGGGTCAGATTCCACGATAACAGATTTGGCTTACATGGAATGAAGATTTCCTTACTCTTAGGACTGATGAATCAGGGAGCAAGTTACAAAGGACTCTCTAACTTACTTGGGTGTCCCTTAAAAACAAGAGAAATTCTTCTCTATCCGGGATATCTGAGGGCACTTAAAGAAACATACAGTGTAATTTTTTTTTTTTGTAAAGAACAGATCCTCGATTGAAAGAGTTGTAATTGAAAAACAATTCTTTGACCCTATCCATAGGCAATAAAGAAGCAACTATATGAATAACAATTAGGCTTAAATCTTAAACTACTACCTAATCTTATTCTGTGAAAAAAGATTGTGAGTTCTCAGGTAATTGCTTTCTTGATCTGGTTTAGGTTCCCTAATCCTCTCATTGTTTTTAATTATGTTAGAGTATGTTTATTAAAGTACTAATGAGAACAAAACCGTACTGATTAAAAACAAAATTATTCACTTAAACCTTTTGATATTATGAAATGGAAGGTAGGTTCTACTGTTGGAAGATGAATCCTGCATGTCTAATAAGTTCTTTCCTGTGTGCCTGGTTTTATTTCTCTCTCTCTGTCTCTTTTTTTTCCCCAATAGTTCATTCTAGATCTGTTGAGGTTACAAAATTTTTATGACATGAAACTGTTTTTTAAATCATAAAAGCAGTTTATCCTAAGAGCTCCAGGCAGAGCGCATCTTCCCTAGTGATTTTTATAGCATCTAATTAATAAATAAATAGGCAGCTGGTTAGGCAATGAATATTAAGAGTTGGTTTTGGCTTATCATCACCCCTTATAATTTTTAGGATGTTTGGGATCGAGGATTTTTCCTTTCCTGCTCCCCTCTTCCCGCTCATTGTGAATTGCAGCCACTTTTCCTCTCCTTTGGAACTATACTTTTAAATCTATCTCTTCAGTGCTGTTTTCTGTTACCGTCTTACTGGTTTCGTATGCCTGCTGTTGCTTTTTTGGTTTTGTTTGTTTTGTTTTGTTTTGTTTGGGAGAGAGAGAAAGAGAGAGTGTGCTTGAGTTCCTGCATGTGTGAGTGGGTGGACAGGGAGGATTCAGGGGAAGAAGGGAGGGAGAGGGAGAGGAAGTGCCAAACTCCACACGGGGCTTGATCTCACAACTCTGAAATCATGCTTATTGTCATTTTCCTTTGCTGTCCTAAGTGTTTGTTTTATTTTTTTAAGTAAGTCAGTGAATTTCAGTGTTCAAATCAATTACTCTCCGTTTTTTTCTGATTACCTCCCAATCCATGCATCTTTTGATGAAAGATGATCTTTCAGACCATGATCTGAAAGCAGATCAGCAGTTTTCCTTTGGATTGCTCTGGCCTAGACGTATAGTGGGGTCAGTCTGCTTCCCAGTAGGTCAGCCTGCAGGACCCTTCTTGGTCTTCACCACCACTGCCCAAGGTCAGGTCCCTGAATCTCATTTACATCCTGATCTGCTGTATTTTTCCTGCCTTTCTCCCTGCCTTTTTTGTGAGCTCCTTCTTGCCCCTTCCCCAGACTATAGCCCACTGACCTTACCAGGATGCAAACCTACATTGTCTCTCCTTGTTTAAAATCCCTTATGACCAATTCTTATTCATAAGATGCACTCCAACTCCTTCGTGTGCATTCAAGCCCTTGCCTGAGCTGAACCTTCCCATCTTGGGAGCCGGCCTCATCTCCCTCTATGCTTCTTACATCATCCCGTCACCATATCAGACTCAACACTCCAGGTGCTGGAAACAGGCTAAGCCAAGGCATGAAGCTGGAAATCATAGCCCTGCTTCAGCAATGGAGTAACTAGAAGTGGTCCATTTAGCGCTGAACACATTTAAGAGGCCTTACCCTGGGCTGGTGCCAGGGCCCTGCTGTCCAGCTATGGACTGGCGATGAAGGGATCACCAAGCCATTCTCATCAAGAGCAGAGGAAAGCTGGTGTTGAAGAGCTTGCTGTTGCCCCCACTCATCCTCTGATGCCCTCTCTCATTTCTCCCCCTACAGCCTGTGACGGTGATCACTGGGGGCCCCACTGCAGCAGCCGGTGCCAGTGCAAAAACGGGGCTCTGTGCAACCCTATCACAGGGGCTTGCCACTGCGCAGCAGGCTTCCGGGGCTGGCGTTGCGAGGACCGCTGTGAGCAGGGCACCTACGGTAATGACTGTCACCAGAGATGCCAGTGTCAGAATGGCGCCACCTGCGACCACGTCACAGGGGAATGCCGCTGCCCACCCGGGTACACTGGAGCCTTGTAAGTGACATGCCGCAGAGCAGCAGAGCACAGTCCACTCACCTTCTCCCTTCATGCTGCTTCCCCCTCTCTATTCCTGGGCTCCTGTTTCTGTTGCTGCCTGAAGTCACTGGAAGGGCGGGGCTCTGGGCACAGAGTGGGGAGATCAACAGTGACAGCCCTGAGATGTTCCTTGAACTTCAGACTCCAGCTGGAGTCTGATGGCCAGCTTCCATGTTTTCCTTTCGGCCAGGCAGAGATAGAGAGGACCAGGCTTTACGTTGAGTGGTAATATTGGTGGTGGGAGGGGGTTGGGGCAGATTTGAGGTTCTGCTTTAATTCCCCCACAATTGCATTTATTATTAATGGTCCATGTTGTTCTGCTCTGTGTGGCAGCTAATTTGCTGGATAAGGCTGGGTGGGTTCAGTGCCATAGAAAAGAGGAAAAGGGGAAGATGTTTGAGACAATCCACGATAAAAGGTTAACTGGGTTATTTAATGCCTGTGGATACATACGTTGCTCTGTGACCATAAAAGAAATACGTCAGATCTTTGTAGGATACGTGCACACAGTTAGTTTTATTTTTTCTGGATACAATTGATGCAACTTCTTAACCTCCACTACTTTATTTTGTGTGAGGGACTTTCTTCAGTTGGCTGGTATCAGTAAACAGAATAAGAGGCAGAATTTGCCCCCCCCCCCCAAAAAAAGGAAATAGAAAAATCTTGTTCCCTTACTGGGAAAATTACACTTGTAAATCACAGAATTAAAACTTGAAAAAATGTGGCTGATTAGGTAAATACTTCCTGCCAACAGTATTAACAGCTATAAAGTAGAGCTAAAGAAAAAACTGCATTAGCCTAGAAAGCCCTCATTTTTAGAAAAATGAATGATCATCTCAAACTACTTAATTGTTAATATTGCTTTTATGGGTTTTTATCAAGGTCACAATTGAATAGGGCTTTGGGAAACTTGGAGCAGTTTTATAAGAGCGCAAACAAGGCAATTAAAGGCTTAGAGAAGAAGGTTCATTCATAGGAAAAGGGTGGGAGTTAAGGACACAGAAAACGATGAGGCTCAAGAAGAGAATGCTGGAAATTCATTTTGAAGAATATGTGTACAAAGCAGGGGATGTGGAAATGTTTCAGCCTCCTCTGAGGTTGGAGTAAACCCACAAACAAAAGCAGACCTCAGATATCACACAGGGGCTTTAGACTAGTTGCATGGAAAGTTCCCGTCACCAAGGAGTGTTTGGCTGAGAAGAGTCATCCTCGGTGCTCTTAGATAGGAAGCATTCTCTTCAAATTAGGAATAGTTTCATTAGAAAATAGCCCAAAAGAAAGGAAATGTCTAGACTACCCCTCAAAGACCTTTCCAGCCAGTGTGATTAATGCTTTGATGTTAATGAAATGAAGAATTTTGAGCAGAGGAAGCTTGTCTGTTTCAGGTCCCTGGGCGCTGTTGAATCTGTGAACCTAAGGGTCTTGTGGTTGGGTAATAACGATATCCTTTGTCACACATCAATCCCTCAGCTGTGAGGATCTTTGTCCCCCTGGCAAGCATGGTCCACAGTGTGAGCAAAGATGCCCCTGCCAAAATGGAGGAGTTTGTCATCATGTCACTGGAGAATGCTCTTGTCCTTCTGGCTGGCTGGTAAGCTCCCTTCCTCCCCTCCCAAAGTCACCTGTTTAAGGATGCTCAAGTGAAAATACACATGGAGGACTTAAGCACAAAGGAAAGTTACCCTGATGGTTAGAGATTGCAAAATTGGAGATAGCTGACCGTTTTCAAAGCTGGTGTCCTTCAGTCCATCTTCGGGTAGAAGATGATTAAATCTTGACATGCACTAAGGGTCCTCATGGAAAACATAGGGGCCATCTGTCCTTCACTTTCCCTCAGGACAAAAAAAAAGAGGGAAATACCTCATCACACATATGACAGACAGGGCTGTCAAATACTGGAAATTTCTAAATGTTGGTGTACCTCGGATATACTTTGGGTTTGGTTCCAAACCTCGGCAATAAAGTGGAATCACAATAAAGTGAGTCAAATTAATTTTTTGGTTTCTTTTACACATAAATGTCGTTTTATGCTGTGCTATACTGTAATCTATGAAGAGTACGATGGCATTATGTCTAAAAAACCAATGTACATACCAAAATAATTACTGTAGTAATATCAGAGACCACTAATCACAGATCAGCACAATGAACATAACAATAATGAAATCTTTTTTCAAATATCAACAAGAGTTACCAAAATATGACATAGATACACTAAAGGAATAAATGTTGTTAGAAAAATGGTGACAGTGGACATGCTCAATGCAGGATTGTCACAGGCCTTCAATTTGTTTAAAAAATAAGAAACAACATATCTGTGAAGCACAGCAAAGCAAAGCAGAATAAAATGAAATATGTCTATAATTGTTTTTATAATTAAGTTCCATGGGTCATTGTTGTTCTTTGAAATCATTATTCTCAAAGGAATAGGTCATATGTGAAAAAATTATCTGGTCATGTACATCCGGAGACACAATGAGGCAAACCCAGTTATCAAGTATTGCAGAATTTCTCAAAGCCTTCAGCATGAAAATCCAAGAGGAGCTGTCACTTACCACGTTTCCCAAACTTTGACCATGTCACACTTTCTTCATGTAGTATGTCACAGACTTGGTGTTATGTGACACACTCATTGTCAAAGCTGGTTTGCTAATCAGATTTCTCCTTACTGGCATTGGTTTGTGCATACATCTGCTTGCAGGCACAAGAACAAATGACCAATGTCTGTTTCCTTCATTAACAAACAAAATTTAAGAAATTTCACTATCACCTGCTGTCTCCAGGAGCTGTAGTGAAGCTGAGTTCCCAAATCCAGTGATGACCCTTCTGTTCTCATACTGCTTGATTAAGCCAAAACATACGACCCCGTTGCTCATCCATCTCCCACCTTCATAATCTTTCCGTGCCTCTGCTAACCCTCTACCTCTGTTACTGAAGATCTCTTTTTCCTAACCTCCTTCTACATACTGCATCGCAGTATTTCCCGGGTTTCACTCTTATTTTTCTTCTCTTTTCTCCCTATAAATCTCTGGAACTCTCACCCAGTTCATGGCTTTAACAGTCATCCTGTGATTTTTCTAAATCTTGACCTTCCCTCACCTGAGTCCAGACACATATTTGTTACTATTTTGTTAGACCCCCAACCTAGATGACCTGTACACATAAAGCCACAATCTGACGGGGCTCCACCCAAGCTGGAGCCTTAGGAGCCAACTCTGGGATGGAATGGGTCCGCTAATGTCCTTGTGGTAGTCCTGAAGCAAAGGAGAACTGGAGTCCACTTCTCAGTAAGAATCATGGGAAGAAAGGGAGCGCTCAAGGTGTGAGGGCCGTGGAGAAAAGTGGAAAAGAAATACCAGACCCAAGGTGAGAATTACAGAGGTAAGCAGGTGAGACAAGGTCTGGTTCTAGAGGCAGAGCCTGGAGAAACGTCATGAGGCAATGGAGTCAGAGTGAGGGGGCTTTTATTGAGTGCCTGATGGTGGGGCAAACAAGGGAGCTCTTGAGGAGTATAAGCCCAGCAAAGTCCGTGTTCATAGGAACAAAATTGTGACACACCCAGGCCTTTCTTAAGGCTACTCCTTTTTGGATTTTTAAAAGTCTTAGTTAAAACCAGCATTTCTTTCTTAGTTGCTCAAGGTAGAAATATTGAATTATCTTTGACTCCTTCTGTTCTTCATTTCTTGTGGGTACTCTTTTGCCCTATTGGCCATTGTTTGGCCCTTGGCAAGGGAAGGTTTTTGTTGGGGCAGCAGAGTGTCCAGAGAGCTCCATGTTTGGATGAAGAGCGCAAGCATTCTACTCTTAGTACTGGTGTACAGACATTGTCAGGAGTGTTGCCTCATCTTGAGACCGGAAATTTCTTCTTGGTTGGAGTGGTTATGATGCGGGATGGTGGCAATCACAGGATCGGACAGTGAGTCCCAGTAACTGGGTGGACGGATCCATCAGCCCAGTGAGGCCTCCCCTCCACCGCTTTCTCTATACTCCGGGCCCCCTACCTGGACAAAAGTTTCTTTCTGAATGCTTTGGGTCATTTCTCAATCTGCATAGCTTAGCTCCTAACTTATACTTCTCTCTACAACATTTTATTTGTGCTGTCTCTCTAGGTGCTTTTCAAAGATGAATATATATTCCTTTTACACAGACACACGTTTCAACTCAGGAGAGGACTGTCTCATTTAAAGCTATTTGCTCACATTAATCTTTATTCATAAACAGTATTTCCACAGCATCTCTGAAGCTGATGTGCGACCCTTACAAATGCGGCCAGAGTCAGTCCCTGAGAGAATGAGAACTTTGACCAGAACTCCAGCTTACGGCAAATTGACTCCTGGCACACTATTTTTTCAGGCATGTTGATAGTTGTGCTAGAATGGAGGGATTAGAGCTATTTTTGCATTTATCCCCCACCACCACATTGTGAACAAATTAAAGGTTTTGACCTTATCTTTGATTCTCAGAGCTTAGCTCTGTGCCTGACACATAGATGATTCTCAGTGAGGCATTGGTCTGAATCATCTCTCAAAGGCTTTTTTAGTTCCAAGAGTCTGTGGAAGAACTTTCCTTGTTTGTAGATAGCTAAAAACCACCAGAGGAGACTTAATTAGCACACCAACTGCCTTTGTGGGTAGCCAGGAGTTAGAGGAAATGTATTTTCTTACGCTATCCAGAATAAACATTTACAAAACCATCTGGTGTTCGCTAGCCTCCAATTTCAGAGTGCCCACAGTCTGCCTTTTTTTAGGGAGAAGGAGGACAAAGCAACAGCTTGCAACAGTTAAAAAAAAGAAAAAACAGTTTAAAAATCCCTGTTCTTTGGGATATGTTGTTTGTGCTAACAATAACTCCAATAAACAGATGATAAGCTATAATCCCAAGTTATATAGCCACGCGAAGTAGAAAATCATAGTATTTCATTGACCTATTGGTACTTATTCCTATAAACATAGGATTGGAATAAATATAATGATAGCACATGACAAGATGGACAGCTTCTAGGGTGAGGAGACATGTCCAAGTTACTCTCTTGATTTTTCTTCCCAAGAAATAAGCTTTCCTATTGATCTTGGCCCAGCAATGTTTGTTCAACCTGCTGAAAATAAAAGTGTTTTTCTTCTGAAATAATATGTCTGGGTTCATTCTTACAGGACTAATGTCTTAGGCAATGTTACTGTTAATTCAGGTACACAAAATTTCCATCTCATGCTCCATTATACCCTAAGAAATAAAACCACTGATAATGTATATTTTCTTTAGAACATATGGTAAAGCATTTGGATATTCCATTTGCACCAGATGTTGCTGTTTCTGTAATGGATGCTCGATAAGTATTGTTGACTTATTATACATGTAGGGACACACGGAAGAATGCTTAGGAGGATTTATAAATACCTGAGGTTACCATAATAATTTCATGTAACTTTATCTTAAACTTCAGTTTTTTAATATGGGTGTTTCTTAAGATTATTCTGCCGTCTTCAAACGTATCTTGAGTTTTGGCTTTCTAAGTAAATAAGTTCATTTAAAATTTCTAACGTTTTAAAGATGCTGAGCAGAGTGCGTGTGTTCTAAAATCCCCTTCATCTAATTCTCCTGCAGCCCTGTGCCCCTATACCTTCCTCCCTTTCTGTTTCCTCTCTTCTTTCCCTCCTCCTTTGGCCCTTCCCTGGCTGGAGGCCCATGTAATTTTCCGAGTCTCTTTGAATGCAGGGCACAGTGTGTGGTCAGCCTTGCCCAGAGGGTCGCTTCGGAAAGAACTGTTCACAAGAATGTCAGTGCCATAATGGAGGGACGTGTGATGCTGCCACAGGCCAATGTCATTGCAGTCCAGGATACATAGGGGAACGGTAAGGGATAGTCTCATCTTTCTCCGACTGCTCATAATGGCGTGAAAGGAAAGCTCGAAGAGCCCAGGGAACACCTCTGTGACTATTCTGTAACATTCCAGAGATATCTATAAAGTATCAGTGCATTTGATATATTATTTCCCAACTCAGTGTGTAGAAAGTGAGCCATAGGGGTGCCTGGGTGGCTCAGTGGGTTAAAGCCTCTGCCTTTGGCTCGGGTCATGGTTCCAGGGTCCTGGGATTGAGCCCTACATTGGGCTCTCTGCTCAGCAGGGAGCCTACTTCCTCCTCCTCTCTCTCTCTCTCTGCCTGCCTCTCTGCCTACTTGTGATCTCTGTCTATAAAATAAACAAATAAAAAATCTTAAAAAAAAAAGAAAGTGAGCCATAGACAATAGTGAATTGAAGATATAGAGGAAACATTCAAAAACATAGATTAAAAAATATCAGCTATCCAGAACCTATGGTGAGTATGTCAGGTTCAACAGTCAAGTGGTTGGACAGTCACTTCAAAGATCAGAATATATTTCAAACATTTTTTTGGTAGATTTATTTCAAAATTGGATGTGTACCTGGTTATCTTTAGCAAGTATGTGGGGCATAGAGTTACGGTCTTAAGATTCAGTATTCCATTAAGAAAATCAATTATTTTCCTGTGTGGCAGTGACTGAGGAAGATCGATGGGATTGCTAGTGCTCTCCAGTCCCATATGAAATAAGAGCAAATATGTGGCTGTACTTGTGTGACTCTTCCAGCCACTGTCATATTTCAGATTAGGTAATCAAGTATTACCCTAGACGGTTTTGCTCACGTTGCGCCTTCTAATTTGCTCTTTCATTTCTTACATCCTGAAAGGCCAGCTAACCAGGCTTAGTGGATGTATGTGTAAAATTGAAGAAAAAAGTTTGGAGAGGTAGGGGACTATGTTGGCTCAAAACAAAGATTTTTGGAACCTGTGTCCTTCGACACATCCTTATTGCTAATACTCAAATAATAATTTTACTCTCTTCTGGAGTTGAATCAAGATTGAAGAAGTACATTAAAGCAGTTAGAACAGTGTGGAAGCTTACAAACATTAGTTCTTATTATAGTTGAGTAATTTCCCTGAACCATCTAAATACCAGCGATTATCAATTTGAGTGATGTCTAGGAACAGAATAAAAATTAGCTATCATTATTTTTTAGTGAGATCTGTGACCTAAGTATTTCTTAAACCTTCCTCCCTCCTTTTATTTTCTTTCCAAAGTTCTGATCTATTTTTTTTAACTTTTACTAAGATACTGTAGCATGGTCCCCCCCACCCCCACCACCTCTCAACTTAGAATTTCCTGTTAACTTTATCTCTAATTTGTATTTTTTGGAAAAATGTCATTTCTGATTCTAATTGGCTACTTCAAGATAAAGAAAAACTTGATCCTGAGTTTTTATTTAGCCTCTCCACCAAAATTTTTAATTAATTCTGATGTTATGTTTAGCAAACACCAGTTATTTCATCATTTATCAAAAAAGGTACTTGTCTCTGCTTTTCAGTATTATAATGATTATTTCCTTTCTTGAAATGATTGCATTAATTTAAGCCTCTAAATCAGTGAGGACAAATAGAGATCAAAGCAGAAACTCCTATCTTAATTTTATTGAAAATGGCTTCAGTGTAGTTTCATGTTTGTTACTGGTTTTTAGTAAACTTCTTGTTAAGTGTTTTTTTTTTAAATCTCTGTTTTTATTAAGAACTTCTCTTAGTAGTATTTGTTTAACTTCATTAAAAGATTTTCATCTTTTGTTAATATAGTTATGTATTTTACCTTTGATTTTTGGATATTATAAATTATCACAGCACCCTTCAGAGTTTGATCTTTGTAATATATTTTTAAAATATTTATTTATTTGAGAGAGAGAGAATGAGAGAGAGAGAGAGGTCAGTGGGTGAAACAGACTGCCTGCTGAGCAGGGAGTCCGATGTGGGACTCGATCCTGAGACTCCAGGATCATGACCTGAGCCGAAGGCAGTCACCTAACCAACTGAGTCACTGAGGCACCCCATGTAATATATTATAGGACTTCTTAGAAAGTTTTTGTCACCTATATCTTGGCTTACAGTTGTGTTTTGGATAGATGTTTTTAGATGAGTTCTGAACTTACTATCTTATTCAGAATCCCAAATAATACTTTTACCTAATATTTTAGGGCACTAGAAAATTAAATACAGTTGACCTTTGGTAAACTCAGGGCTTTGGGACCCTGACCCCTCATGCAGTCAAAAATCATATGTAAATTTGGGGGGCACCTGGGTGGCTCAGTAGGTTAAAAATCATATGTAACTTTGGGATCCCCCAAAACTTTACTACTAATAGCACACTATTTAGGAAGCTAAAATATATAATATTAATATATATTAATATAAATTATATTTATATATATTAATATCGATATTAATTGATATATTAATATCAATATATTAATATATATTGATAATATAAACAGTCAATTTACACATATTTTGTATGTTATATGTGTTATATATTGTATTCTTACAATGAAGTGAGCTAGAGAAAAGAAAATATTAAGAGAATCATAAGGAAGAGAAAATATATTTCCAGTACTGTATGTATGAAGAAAAAAAATCTGTAAGTGGACATGTACTTCCAAAACCGTGTTACTCAAGGATCAGCTATATAATTTTTTTTCTTGTCCCCTCACAGTTTAAGGCTCAAATTTGAGGCAACACAGAAACAACAAACATGTGGGGCGAGCTTATATTCATCTGATTTAGAATGCAGGGAAGGGGAGTAACAGCTGATTTCCAGGTGAATTTTAGATTAAGGCAAAGAGGGCAAGGAGCCAAAGAAAGACAAAGGAAAGTGAAGAGGGAACTTCTCCTTGAGTTGTTGTTCTGATAACTTTTGTTTTGCCAGTAAACTGATGATGTGATTTCTGTTTTCAATTATACCATCTCCATAGACACACACACACACACACACACACACACTGACAACATGCACATTTGTCACTACAATAGGGAAAAATGAGTAGCTATGGGGCAGTTTGTGGCAGGAGTGTGGTGAAGGCAGCTTTGAGGGCCCGGGGTCTTGGCATTTCCCTGTTTTAAGAAGTCAGCAGAACTTGATCCCTGAGGTTAAACCAGAGTTCTGCTGCCCGAAGGAGCAGGTACCACCACAGGCCGCCGCCAGCAAAGACTTCCCAGGATGTGGGGATGGCCCTCCCAGCCAGAGCGAAGACAGAACAAACAAAACAGACACCTTGTAGGCAGGCAGAGCAGCCCAGGGGATGCCCACATAATAGTCTTGGGGGTTTGCGGAAAGGTGGGGAGGACATTGGGGTAGGGAAATGTACTGTGGCCTGGCCAGGCAAGAAGGGAAAGAGGATGATTTCCAGAGCCTCCCAGAAATTCCTCTGAAAGGGTTAAAAGAGTGTTCTTCATGATGATTCCATGGAATTGCTCAGGCCTTTGGGGCCCATGCTCATAGCTTGTGTTTCCCAAGAGTGAGCCAGAGGGAGAGATCTGTGCCTCGGTCATGCTCCCTGTTCCGGCGAAGGTGGGACTGTCCTGCCACACTTGTGTGCCGTAGAACCTGCAAGTGAAGAAGGAAAGTGAGTCAAAGGAGGTGAAGTCAGAAATGACAGACAGGAATTGGGGGGATGTAGCGTTGGTCTCCACTGGGAGAACTTTCCTGGATCTAGGATTGTGGAAAAGTTGGCTGTTTTCCAGGCTTTGTATATTTCCCCCAGAGCAGCACTTCCAGATGCTGAAAAGGCAGGCAACTGATCCATGATCCCAGGTTTAATGAGGAATGCGATTCTTTCACATTAAATCATGGTTTGGCCCAATTATTCCAGGCACTCTGGGGAGGGACATGCTCAGAAGGACCAGGCAGGAAGGAGCTGCCACCCCTTATATGCTAACTTACTTCCTTCTTCATCCATTTGTAATAAGATGCATCGTAGTAGTCAAAATGATATTAAAACAAGCCTGTGAACCTCATGGGTTTGCGGAATTGGTGTCATATTTTATTATCTCTACTTAAAGCTTATCCATCTTTTTCCCAATTCCAGAGCATTATTCAAAAACGAAAATTTTAAAAAATAATAAATGAAAACAAGTATATATACATTTTACATATGAGATATATACATATATATATGTTAAATACATATGTATTATATATATAATTTTATATATAGTGTATATACACACACACACACACACACACACACACACATATATATTCCAAATTAACATATTTCCACTGACTGATATTTTTTGCTCTATCTTTATCAGTCTCTCTGCCTTCACTTGTAAGAAAATCTGTTACCTCTTTTACTAATTCCTAGGATAGCTTTTTTGTTGTCGTTCTGCCTGGGACCACATAAACAACATGAAGGGCATGAAATTCACTGAGAAATGATGCCTCTTTTGGATAAAGGGGCCAAAAAGGGAGATAAGTCTGTTTGACAGAGACTTTTAACTCTGCTAACCTGAAAGCTATAAGCTACTTTATGATTGCTGGGTTTTTTTTTTATTATTTTTTCTTCTTACTTATTTGAGAGAGAGTGGACATGTGCAAAGAGAGAGCATGAGCTGGAGGTGGAGGGCAGAGGGAGAAGGTGAGGGAGAAGCAGACTCCCCCCTGAGCAGAGAGCCCAATGCAGGACTCAATCCTAGGACCCCCAGGATCATGACCCGAGCCAAAGGCAGATGCTTAACTGATTGAGCCACCCAGGTGCCTCTGCTTTTATGTTTGAGATAGAAAAAGTCTACTACCAGAACGATATCCTATTACCTTGGTTTGGTAGATGGAAGTAGACATAACTATTATAAACAGGGTTTTCTTACATGTGCAACTTTGATGAAAAAGAAATGAGAATATGAACCAAGCTTTACACAGTGGCTACTTTAGTAATGGCTTTTTGCCATTTATAATATGAACTAGTAGTATGTTTTATTACAGGTTTGGAAAGTAAATATGGGTCAGGACCAGCTATCATGGATTTTGTTTTCCCAAAGAAAAGGAAGTCGCTGCCAAGATAGGATAAAATATACACGCTGCTTCCATGTCATTTGACGGCAGACGGTTTTCCAGGCTTCCGATCTATACTCGTTCACCCACTTTTAGAGCTAAGCTTTTTACTAAGTTAAAATCGTGAATCCCAAAGCTTAACAATTGGATTTGTTTTCTCATGCATGCAAGAGAGAGAAAACAATGTTATTTTACCTTGTTTATCTTTTCCTTTTTGGTACTGAATCACAAGAAAATCTGGACAGACAGGCTGCAGGGTTCTTACCAGCCTTTAACAGAATCCATGACAAGCCCTAATGACTGCACCTCGGCATTTCTTTCCCTAAAGTGTACGTCCTTGAGGAATAAACTAAGTGACTTGGCTTATTAAGACTTCTTACAAGTTATATAGAGTACCTTTTAAAAATACTCTGGTCTAAAAATAGGTATACTCCTGCGTAATTTTAAAGCACACATCTGATTTTATGCTATATGGTAGGCGGGTTACTTCAGAACTTTGCTAATGGTTTGTTGAGCAGTGGATTTGAAGATTTTTACCTTTTGACAAACACACTTAAAGATGTCTTAAGCATCGGGTGAAACCAAGTTTACAAGAGGCTCCTTTTCTTGTCTCTATCACATTAAGGGTATGCTACAGCCAGGGTTAACCACCGAAGAGTCAAAGAGCTGGGGGTGGAGGGCAGAGGGAGACCTGATTTAGCTTCTACATTTAAGTAGAATCCCATCCAAACTTGGTATTGTTACTAATCACACCCTATTATTAAAAATATGCCAAGCCTTGTGGAAAAGGTTTGCTTTTCAGCCTGTTTGCTCCTGCCTTCAGATATCCTTGAATTCATTATTATGCACTTGCTGCTTGTATGATACTGATCTGAAAAAATGCAGCGCTGACCTACATTTCTGACCATGGGTCTGGCGTGACTCGAGAGCCACATGGGAAGTGTCTGCTGATTCCCACCCACAAAGTGTACCGTCCTTATGGCAGGCGCTCAGCTAGACGAGACCCCGTCTCCCTCTCCCTTGGCAGGAAGTGCTCCTTCTGTCACAGGAGGCTCCGTGAAGTCACCTTGCCAGGTCAAAAAGAAACTTGGCTGGCCTGACAACCGGTCACGCATTCTATGGAGTGATGAGAATTTTCTCTTCTCCATCACCGTTCCTTCCAGCCACTTAGCTGCCCACCTGATCCAACTTATCCAGAGCCTGTCCTTCCTCTGGCACCAGAAATGACTCTACTGTCATTTTTTAAAAGATAAAGTGAATTTTTGAGACCTGATATTTTTCTTTCCTTGCCATTTGTCAGTCCTTCTAATAAACAGGGGATAGTAACCCCCTTAAAAATTTTTTTGTACTAGGAAACTCCACGTGTCCATACACCCCCTGGCAAGAGTTCCCCAGGTGGAATTGAAGAAACCTGGATGCAATAGCTCTGACTTCCCCAGATCTAAAGAGGACTTTCTTTATTAAATATATAACTTTCTAAATGACGAGCAATTATTTCCATTCAGCTTTGCAAAAAGGAGCCACATGGCTAAGATTAAATATTAAAGCTACCATGAAAGCCAAGAGAATTAACATTGTTTGAAATTTGCTACAAACTTTTCTCTTTGAAACAGGGAAAGCGAGTATTTTAATTTCCTCATCTGAGCAGTCACTTTTCTCTCTCTTCTGGTATCTCCTGGTATCTTTCCAGTATGTATATACATGCATGTATGTATATCTTTAGCAAGCAAAACACTAGGTATAAAACAGGCTTCCTATGCCAAGTTCATGATTTTACTTTGTTTTTGTTTTTGTTTTGTTTTGTTTTGTTTTATTCCTTTGAATAGGTCATGTGGCTATTACTACTACCTGTAGCCAGAGTAGTGCAGCTTCCTGCTTTTATACCTATAATGGGGCCGTCACTAAAAAACACAACAAATGCAAGAAGCACCTTCAGTTTCTACTTTACAAAGCCTGTTGAAATCAACTGTGTATTTGTACATGGCATTACATAATCTGTCTTCTGCTCCCACCCCCCCGCTTGGTAGGTGCCAGGACGAGTGTCCCGTTGGCACATACGGAGTTCGCTGTGCTGAGACCTGCCAGTGTGTCAACGGAGGGCAATGCTATCACGTGAGCGGCTCGTGCCTCTGCGAAGCAGGCTTTGCTGGTGAGCGCTGTGAGGCACGCCTGTGCCCCGAAGGGCTCTACGGCATCAAATGTGACAAGCGGTGTCCCTGCCACTTGGACCACACTCACAGGTGAGGGTCATCTACCTTGGAAGGATGTGCCCCATTAACATTTGAATGTCAGTGTCCACTCTTTGGAAGGATGGATTGCCAGAGAGATGCCCACCCTGAGACCTTCCTGCCCCTGGGTCATCCTTCAGAGGAACCACCAAGTACATGGACCACTTCTTTCTTTAGTTGGGGACGGTCCAAGTTAGAAACATTAAAACTGGCAGATGGTCATGGGTGGATATTAAGTTCTAGTCTCGATGAATGGCCATTGCCAAAAATGAAATTTGCTGGGGTTAGTAGAACATTGCCCTAAGAGAGGGATTCTGTGACATTCCCTTAGAAGCAAAGATGCAATGAGAGACATGAGTTAAGCCAATTTCATATGTGAAAATATCACAAAAAAATGATTCTTGCTGCAGCATCTTTGACTTGAGAGCACATCTGTGTAGTGAGGAAGTATACCGGTGGAAGTTTTATAGAAGTGTTTCACATATGGCTGTCATATGTGAAATATGTTTTCAGAATTAATTACTCGGACATAAAACTCACAGGGGTCTTTTAGCTCAAAAATCTCTTGAAGAATTTAAGAACGGGAAACCATGGTTCCCACCCACCCTACTGTACCTTGTCTGCCCCTGAAAATACCTTTCCACCCCCTTTCTTCCTCTCCATCCCCCAAGGACCAGATACATATCACTTAGAATTCTGGGCCTCATTTGCAGACTGCTGGAAAAGTTGGGTCTGACAAAAATGTGGTGCATTGTATAGCAGTTCAAATGTTACAAGAATTACTTAATTGCATTCAGCACAGCTCTTACTTCATTTATGCTTCTAAAAGGTAAACTTGTGGCCCTGTCAATTCTCAAATGCACAAAAGTTAAATGTAAACAGAAGCCTGTGGTTGGTCTCTTCTTTAAACCATTGCTAGGAACAAAAAAATGGACTTTGTACTTTGATAGGTTGTGTGTGTGTGTGCGCGCACGCACACACGTGCGTGCGTGTATGCATGTGTGTGAGCCCATGTGTGCATGCTTGGCATACATTTTACTGGGACATATCAAAGAAGTGCATTCTTAATGTATCTCAAGCAACTTTACAAGCTGCTTTAATCAACTTTGGTTTTCTTCATTGGAAAATATTACCACTCTTTATGTGACAAGGTTAAGTAAACATTTGGGGAGTGAAAATGAATCATCTCTGCAGGATTGTGCTTGTTTTTTAACTCTCAGGTGTTTAAGGAGCTGGCAGGATTAGGGATAAGTCATGAGTTTGGCTACCTTTCCTGCAGTGTTTAAGGCTTGTCTCAGCAAAAGGTAAGCCTCGTGTAGTGACAGCTGAGAACTTCTTGATATCAGAGTGCTGTTTCATTGTACGATCCTGACATCAAATAGATTAATAAACCTACAGAAGGGAGCTGTGTTATGAGAAGCATTGGGGACACAGAGAGAATGTGGGTTTTGTTAGAACTGGGTACCATGTTCAATAGTGGCAAGGTCCCAGTGGACAGTCACTTGACTGACATCAATTCCCTGATATATTTGACATAGGTCACATGTACCTAAGCATGTGTGCTTTACCAAAGAAGTATGGGAAATTATTTGGCAATCACATGGATCAAAGGGAAAGCTAAAATCTGTCTAATAATGTATAACAAATAATCAGATTAAAAACAATTAACCTAGGAAGTGCTTGCCTGAAAGCTAGTTTTAAAAAGTAGCTTTTGTAAATAAATAACTAAATAAATAAAATTTAAAAATCAAAAAATAAAAATTAGCTCTTGCAGATTTCTCTTAAAACTAGTTCAGTATTGATGAAATGACTGTCTTATTGAATTCATAATTGAAGCCATCCCCCTGGTTCTTGTACCTTAAAGTACCCTAAACTTAAATGTGAAATTCCTAGAAACACAAGATTCCTTTGAACCACAAGGCATAGAACCTTTGTATTTTTCTTAAAGATTTTATTTATTTATTTGACAGACAGAGATCACAAGTAGGCAGAGAGGCAGGCAGAGAGAGAGTGGGGGAAGCAGGCTCCCTGCTGAGCAGAGAGCCCGATGTGGGGCTCAATCCCAGGACCCTGAGATCATGACCCGAGCCAAAGGCAGAGGCCCTAACCCCATGAGCCACCCAGGTGCCCCAAATCTTTGTATTAATTGGAAATCCAGCTTGTTCATTTCACCATTTAATCAAGCAAGTGGAGCTTGCTATTATGTAATTCATGATGTGTATTTACCGTAAAACTTTTCGTTTTAATGACTGAGATAACTTACGCAATGCAGACTATTAGTTTATATTGTCTTTAGGTAAATATTCAGTTATATGCATGTGTATATTGACAGATAATGCAACCGCATATCTGGGTTAGTGGTTTGTATCTGTTAGCTTTTGCTGCATTTAAACAAAACAAAACAAACACCGCAGACAGTGGTATAAGTTGATTATTTATTAGCAGTTGGTTTTTTTGCTTGACTGTTAGAGCTAGGCTCAGCTTGGTGTTTCTTCTGCTTTCCTCCCTGTATTCAGCTGGCGGACCAGCTAGAGGTAGAGGGGTTCTAGAATTCCTCTTACTTGTCCAGCATCTGGCCGGTTGTGATGGGCACCTGAGCCACATGTCTTTAGCAGCTAGCATGTTAGTTAGCCTGGGCTTCTTTTCAGGATGACTGGCTCCCAAAAGCCTCAAGAGACAGAGCAAAATGCCAACATGCAAACACGTTTCAAACCTTTGGCTATGTTGTGTTTGCTATCATCCCTGTGGATGAAACAGGTCACACAACCAGCTATGGTTTCAAAACACTCCACCTTCTGATAGGAGGAGTTGCCAAGAATTTGGAGCCATTTTTACTTTTACAATCTATCCTAAGGTTGAAATGAATTTAAGTATAATTATAAGTGACCCTCATGTTTTTGATCATAGTATTACTATCGACCCTAAAGACTTTCACTGTGACCGGTACTTTTCAACCAAAAACTAACTCTTAGAGTGGAAATGGTTTTGAACAGCAAAATAAAATTGGAGATTTATTAAGATTCCACATGGGAGATGTACAGTAGCTCTTGTTAATAAGGACATTTAATAGCTGTGGGCAATCAGGATGTGCCTATTTGCAAATGCCACGTAATTGTCATTACATTTGAGCATTAATAACACCTAAGGAAATGAACAAAAGGAAGTTCGATGACTCGTTCTATTTTAGCCAATATTATATTAGACTCATGTAATAATTTAACTCTTAAACTGAAAAACTGACTTGAATGTTTATATCTAGTTGTACAAAGTGATAGGTATTCCTATGTGTATGTAATCCTATTTTCATATACACAGAGCAATCTGTTCTTTAGAAAGAAAATGAGTAGGAGTGTGTTACCCTTCAACCTCCAATCCGCCTCTAACATCAACACGTAAATCTCATGACCAATTAAGCTGCCTGCAAGAGAACCCATCAAATGCTTCCAAAGTGCTCTGGCTTCCTATATCTAATTACAAATTGCAGAATACTAATTTCGGTGCCAATCAATCAGAGAACCAGTGTGCTGCACTAATCCTCACTGTGGGGTGTTGAATATCAATCTCTGTGTCTGCCTGTAGCTTAGTCAATTCCCCTATCTCCGGATTGTCTGTTTTGTTTAACATTTATGTCTACACTGGGAATAGGATTTTTTTCCTTTTTAATGTAAAGTAATATTTTCTACTAAAAGATGTCCTTTTTTTTTTTTTTTGTAGTATGTCAAAGTAAGGCAAACTACTTTAACCAATCCATGCTTAAAATATTTCATTTCCCAGGACACCTGGGTGGCTCAGTGGGTTAAGCCTCTGCCTTCGGCTCCAGTCATGATCTCAGGGTCTCCTAGGATCGAGCCCCACATCAAGCTCCCTGCTCAGCGTGGAGCCTGCTTCTCCCCTCTTTCTCTGCCTGCCTCACTGCCTACTTGTGATCTCACTCTCTGTCAAATAAATAAATAAATTCTTAAAAAAAATTTCTTTTCCCTTTCTCAAATGTAGGACCTTCCTGAAGTAAATTTAGATTTGTCTCTGCTTTTTCACAATACAGGCTTTTATTGGTCCTGCTAACCCATTGCTCAATGCTAAGTCCTACATTTTCACCATTCTTTTTCACATCTAGCCTTCCTAGCAGGCTGCGACCAAGCCTCCTTTCTCTTTGGTGTAAAAACAAACCAACAAATCTAGGTCCGGGTTTGATTCCGTTACTACCTGTGTTGGGCTTTGAATAAATTACTCTTTCTAGGTCGCTCTTGCCTGATTTATAAAGTGGGATGATACCCAACAACTGGAATGTGTTGTGAGAATTAAATGAAATGATGTGCGCACGGATTCCTGTGCGTGACGTTGACACATACTCAGGGCTCGGTCAACGCTTGCTGCTTGCGCGTGTGTTGGCTTACAGTAGCACCAGAAGGGTCACGTCAATGAGTATGCCTTGTAATTCAGAGTGGTTCCCCTTTGGCCACAACTCTGACATTTTAAAAATGAATTCTAGGGCGAATCTTGCCTCTCTGTGCAGATGTACCGATTATCATTCAGAGTGGCTGGGTGACTCAGGGAGGTAAGCGGATCCATGTGGGAAAGCAAGACTTCAGAGTCCGAACCTTCTGTACCTCAACTGCCATTTTCCGTCGCATTCAGTGTTTGCTGTGTGCCCACTGTGGGCCGGGGACAGGTCAGGTAACATGCCAAATTCTCGCCTTCACGGAACTCGAGGTCTAGAATGGAAGGAAGACATGGGTAAAATGGAGATGCCCAGGCGAAGAATGGGAAAGCAGTCTTCTGGATGTATGAGATAGCCCACGTGATGCCCTTATATTGGCAACACTCAGTTCTTTTCCCAAGTAAAAGAAATCCATTGCTGTTGAGCATGGTAATAAAGAGAGACTAATGACTAGGGGACAGGTTGGGAAGCAGGCGGTGGTCAGGTAACAATGGCCTGTGGGCTGCATTTAGGGCAACTTGATGTCTAGGGTCACAGGGACTCTTTGGATTAGGGGCTGTAGTCCTAAAAACTCCCTCTTCACTCTTTAAAATGTCCTGGTTTAGACAACAAACAACACAGTCACTATAGCTGTGTTAGACAGCACAGATTTTATTCCCAGTGCAGTGGGGAGTTTTTGAAGATATTTAATGAGAATGATAGGAGAGCATCTACTTTTTAGGTGACAAGGCTTGAGTGAGTGCAGAGGCTGCAAAACAGAAGGCCAGCCTGGTTTCCCAGCCTCAGTGTCGGGTAGTGTGGTGATGGTGTGGATGGAGACATGGGGGTGGAGGCCAGCTCTTAGGTCCTAGGGATAAAGAGGATATGGGAAATGAGGGAGGAGTTCCCAGGAATGACTGAGATTTCTGGTTTAAACAGCTGAGTGGTTGGTGGTACCACTGCTCCAGTAAACACGGAGAGTAAACACGGAGGAACAAAGGACCAGAAGAACTAAGACACGGTATTTGACAGGTCTAAGTTTGAGATGAAGGCGCCCAGTGTTTGCTCAAGGATTGGGAGCAGCTGAGTAGATCTGAGTAGGTCTAAGGAGATCCAAGACAAACCCTTGCCTTTCAAATCAAAACCTTTTTTCTTTTTTTAGGATTTTATTTATTTATTTGAGAGAGTCTGAAAGAGAGAGCATGAGCAGGGAAAGGGCAGAGGGAGAGGGAGAGAGAGAAGCAGACTTCTCTGCTGAGCAGGAAGCCCAACATTAGGCTCGATCCCAGCACCCTGGGATCATGACCTGAGCTGATGGCAGACACTTCACCAACTGAGCCACCCAGGTGTCCCTCAAATCCAAATCTTCTATACCCAAGAAACCATGTTAAATATGGAGTGGTACTTGGGTATTTCTTCACAGCATGTTCCCTGAATAACGCTTGTGCTGGATGCCTCATCTTTTGCCTGTGGGCGCTTAGTTGCAGCAGAGGAATAAGCCATCCTCCCCACAGGGGTGTGGCTGAGACCTGCCCTTGACAGACTAGGACTTCAGGCCTCAGGGACTGTGTGCTTTCACTAAGGTACCCAGGCAGTGGGAGAGCTGTTGTGCCATCTCAGCCTCCTCCTCTCCCCCAAATCATTCTCTCTAAGACTGAAAATCCATGGATTGTCTGTGGATGAGAGTCCCTTACCAAAGTTCTGGATGAAGCAGTGGATTCTGCTGTGGGCTGTAGTTACCAGGAAGGGTTTATCTCCACCAGGGGCGGAAGAGACGGTCTTTCACAGCCTTCCGATTGTGAACAGAGCCAGTTTGATTGTTGAGATGTTTCTGTGGTGAGAAGCACATGTGTTTTGCGTGCCACAGAATGTCCTATTGTGTCAGCCTCACTAACGCGTGCCTCCCAGCACAGCTGATGTGTCCGTTTGCTCCAGAGTGACAGCTGGCTGCCTGGCCAGTCCCTGCGGCAGCTGCCTCAGGTAGAGACAGCTGCTTTGCCAGCAGGTATGGAGAACAGAAACAGGCAAGGAAGGTCCTCTGCTTTTGGAGTTCCTTGGAGATAAAACCCTAGTTCACCACTTTGGTGTCGTGCACTGGACAGAGTCGTTCTTTAAACCCTCTCATCTAGGGGACCTATTGCTGAATTAGTGCTTTCAACTTATGAAGATTATAATGAGTTTCAGACAAAAGGAATCCATTGTAATAGTCTTCCGGTTAGAGCATGATGCCGATTTCACGCCGCATTTCTGTGGTACCAGTCGGGTTTCAGCCAATTAATTAAATCATAGCAAGCCTGGGAACGAAGTTTAAATTATTGTGCATGGAATTACCCACCCATTCATTGCTCATGGCTGAAGCAACATTTGCATGGGCCCTGGGTGTCATGTTCACCCGGGAGTGACTTTCTTCTTTCATCCGTGTCTCTCAGCTGTCACCCCATGTCTGGAGAGTGTGCCTGCAAGCCGGGCTGGTCAGGACTCTACTGCAATGAGACCTGTTCTCCTGGATTCTTCGGGGAAGCTTGCCAGCAGATCTGCAACTGCCAAAACGGGGCTGACTGTGACAGTGTGACCGGGAAGTGCACCTGTGCCCCGGGATTCAAAGTGAGTGGCTCTGGAGGAAGGCGACACGGGGTACGATGAGGAGCATTATGACACCGTGTACCATATAGGACCTTTCCTCAAGTACAGGGAATGTGCTAAGATCTGTCACATCATTACCTAGAAAGAGAATGAAAAGCACTAATAAGAAACATAAGGAAATACCTTATTGCCTGTGCGCCCACCGAGCAGAATTTTACCTAGTTTCTAGGATTCCTGAACTACAAGTTAGGAATTTTTATTTTAAAGGAAAATGGGGAAAAAAAATAAAGGAAAATGGGTTAGTCTTGATTATTTTCTCTCCTTTAAAAGAGGACAGGATTAACCAATGAAGATGTTAATAATTATTCCAGAGTGTGAAATGTGGGGTGAGTAGGTAATAAAGACTTAGAATTGAGGGGATCTTTTACAGGTTTTTCTAACCTATATCACTATTCTTTGGTGGAGCCCTTCATTTAGCCTGTGTTAAGTCTCTTCTGTTTTTCTTTTTAGTTATTTTTAAAGATTTTACCTATTTATTTGAGAGGGAGAAAGAGAGAGAGCATGAGCAGGGGGGAGGGGCAGAGAGAGAAGCAGACTCCCCGCTGAGCAGGGAGCCCAAGGCAGGGTTGATCCCAGGACCCTGGGATCATGACCTGAGCTGAAGGCAGATGTGTAACCGACTGAGCCACCCCAGCACCCCAAGTCTCTTCTGTTTTTAAAAAAGATGACCTCCAGCCATCCTTGATAATCCACTTCTATGTTTAAGGCTTATTGTCAGATAATAAATTGAATCATGCTGTAGGTGGTATGTGTTCTGTTACTTTGCCTCACCCACTAATCATTTTATATATTATTCAAAGAAGGCTAGGAAGCATTGTAATTTAATGTATAGTTTATATTTATGCTTATTTATTTATTGGCTGTAATTGATAGTTTATTGTTCTGTATCTGCTTGTCTGAGCAAGGACAAGGGTTTTTTTGTATTTGCTAAGAGGAGAAGCTCATGAAAGCAGCAGGCTTTTTTGAGTCCCATTTAATACTGAATCCTAAACAGGCCAGCTAGCATTGCCCTTGAATCTTTAAAATCTGTATGCTGGGGACATTTAACAATTTAAAAAAAATACAAGTGTTAAAATTAGACAGGGAATATAATTAGCAGTGCCAAGATGTATTTTTGTTTGTTTGTGTTGGCCTTATTTCATGCAGTAAAATTGCATGCCTTTTCCTCTCTGTGCCTGTCTAGGGCATTGACTGCTCTATCCCATGCCCACTGGGGACCTACGGAATAAACTGTTCCTCTCTCTGTGGCTGTAAGAACGATGCTTTCTGCTCACCTGTAGATGGGTCTTGTACTTGCAAGGCAGGTAAGTGGGTGAATGAGTCTTTTCTCTGTTCTTCATTCTGTTACCTTCTAAAGTCACAAGGAAGAAACCTCCACTAGGGTTCTAGCTCCATCAGTGCTAACGTTCAGCCTCTAATCTCAGCCAGCCCCTCATCCAGGGTGGGCTCTCCTACATTTGTGAGCCAAGGAAAGGGACTCATGTAGGATCTCCGAAGTTGCTGCCAGTTCCCAAAGTCTGGGAGTCTGTGGGCTTTGGGTTAAAGTGAGCAAGCAGACATACAGCCATGTCCCGAAATTGGCCTGGAGTCACACCAAGAAATGCAGCCAAGCGCCAATTTTAGGCAAAGAGCAAAATGTGTCTATATCTAGCGGCTGCAACAGGCAGGGTCCTGGAAACTCATGTCCATGGCCCACTGGGTTTGCTTTAAAGGTAGGGTTGCTCTTTCAAACACATGCCTTCCTTTAGCCTCCCATATAAATATTTCACTTTCCTGACCAGAGCGACACTCCGCATTCTGCATGGCTTGTCACCACACCTTAGAGGTGCCCCTGCTCCCTATCTTATCCCAGTAGCCCAGCGGTGCTTCTTGCTCCTGGCATCTTTGACCGATCATACAGCACAGATGGATTCTGGGTACTTGGGTCGTTGCTGACGGAGGCGACTCTCGGCAGCGCCCCTGCTTTCTGCGCTGGGCCTGGGGGCCCTGATGTGCACCATTGTTTCCTCCACGCTCTGGCGTTCTTGTCGCTGCAGGCTGGCATGGTGTGGACTGCTCCATCAGCTGTCCCAGCGGCACTTGGGGCTTTAGCTGTAACCTGACCTGCCAGTGCCTCAACGGGGGAGCCTGTAACACCCAAGATGGGACCTGCACGTGTGCACCTGGTTGGCGTGGGGAGAAGTGTGAGCTCCCCTGCCAGGTACGACAGAGCCAGCGCCCCAGCTGGGAAGGCATGGGGGGGTTGCTGAGGGCAGAGTGTCTGCTCACTGCTGCAATGTCCCCAGTGTCAGGCACGCATGTGTGAACCCAACGAAACCCTCAGAAGAACTGAGGTCTTTGAAGTCAAATCGGACATAAGATCAGAAGAGGGATAGACAAGGAAATTGGTTAGGTAGCTCTGTGAGAAGCACCCCCTTCTTTTCCTTCATCTCTGCCTGGCTTCCCCCCACTGCCTCCCCATCCCCGCCGCCATTCCTATAGCCCCATGTCTCCGTGGCAGCCAGTCAACCACCCAGCCGTCTGCCTGTCAACTCTCCAAATATTGTATCTCCATTATCATGGAAATCCTTCCGTCTCAGAGCGGGAAAGTGGCAGAGGATTGAAAGGGGGTGGTGATCAGTGTCACAGAAATGCTTATTGAGGTGGTGAGAGGTTTAGAAACAGCCCTCTGTTAAACACAAGTGCATCTCAAGTCACAAGAATCTCCAAAGATTTCCCTCTTTCTATGCTGGCTCCACTCCGCTGACCTACTTTGGAGGCAGTCGTCACTGTAAATCTCATACCCTGTCCCACTGCAGGCAGACAGAGGCTGCAAACAGGACACATGTTCTGTGGTAACGTGCTGATTTCCCTTTCTTCCTCTGAAGCCCGTGGCCTGTTTCTTGCCCTCTTTTCCATGACTCTTTCTTCCTATCTCATTTCTTTCCTCCTAAGCCATTGAGCGTTAGCTCAGTGATGTGCATTCTCGCCCCCAGGAGAGATGGCGAGATGACACTGTGACCCTCAGAACTGGGCCCCTTGTGGTGGGAGCAGTTTTCCCCTGGGCTTCCACTTCATCAAGTACAACCCATTTCCCAACTAGAGAGGATCCCACCCTGGGCTCTCATGTGCCCTCCAAACCCCTGGGAAAGAGTTCAGTTAGCTTTGCTGCCTCTCATCCACCAGTGAACAAATTATCAGTGCTCTGTGACAGGCTTGAAGAGCACTTTTCACTCACAATCTGATGGTAGGTAAACCAAAGCACCTGCCACAATCTTGCCCTGTGTGTGTGTGTGTGTGTGTGTGTGTAAGATGCTTTAGAAAATTCACTGAAGTCCACTGCTGGTTTAAGTGGCTCTTATGGTGGCAAAGCCCCAGCAAACATTAGTGGAGCCTAATTTTTTTTATTTTTAAATTTTTTTAGTTTTAGTAAATTGTAGTGAAATGATGATGCTCTCATATACCCACCACCTGTTTTATGCTGGTTTTCAGCTTCATTGCCCTGGATAACTATGTACCCCCTGAAGGTTTATAGTGTCCTCCCTCAGTTCGTCAGGACCTGGCATGAAAGGGCAGTGTTGCTAAGTGCAGAGCTTTCCATTCCTTTCCCACAAACTAAACGATTACATGCATGAAGGGTGTCGTCTCTGCTGGACCGAAACGGATGGGCACCTGAAAACATTCAGGCCTGGGAACAGACCGGGGAGGAGTGCGTACCAGCGAGTACGCCAGCCTTCCTTGGGATCTCAAATCGGAATACTCATGTCCTTGACACTTCCTCATGGAAAGGAGGGTATTGACTGGGGAAAGCAACAGAAGATTTTCACTTCTCCTAATGGTTCTTCGTATCACATTGGAAGTTTGCAGAAATGAACTTCAATTAGCGCTGTGATTTTCTTTTAATCTTAGAGCTTAATGAGTAGCGTGCCCTACAAGGAACACATTATAAAAATCTTCAGGAGCAAAAGACTATTTCATTATGAGCAGTGACTTATGATAAGACACAAAAGATTCTCTTAATTAATGAGCATGTTTACATATATTTGCATGTGTGCATATCAGTTGGTTTCACCATTCATAGGACCAACTGTTACCTTAGACATCAATTACAGTCTGAATGATTTTAAAGCACCACTGCCTGCATTTGGGGAAAGACAGAGATGGCAAGAGGGGATTATAATGTGTGTTGCTAAGAGGTGCTTGGGAGAAGAGGGTCCTGGATCTGAGGTGGCTGACCGAGGTCCCCATCATCTCTCACTGTGGGTTTCCATGACCTCGTCGCTGTCTTCCACACAGGATGGCACGTATGGGCTGAACTGTGCAGAGCGCTGTGACTGTAGCCATGCAGATGGCTGTCACTCCACGACGGGCCACTGCCGCTGCCTCCCCGGATGGTCAGGTGAGCCGGGGACCACTACTTCAAATGGGAAACGTGCCACCTTATACCCAGTGCTGTTCCTTGCTGCTTTAGAGAAGCACATACAGGTCACCTTTTCAGGGAAGAAGAAATGATAAAACCTCCGTTGAAAACGGTCACATTTATACCCAAGAGATATCAGCATGAGACCTAACTCAGTAACTGGGGACGTGTGAATGGCTTGAAGGGCCTAGCAAAGCTTCTGTGACATTTTGGAGCACTGAGGAAAGAATGATGGAAAGAAACCATAAGAACATAACTAAGTTCATCTTGGTGAGACAAAAATATTCAGTATTAATATTAATATGGTTAATATGCCATATTAAAATATTCATTGCTAGACATGAAAGTTTTAAAACTTTCTTTTTCTTACAATAATACTTAGGTCATAAAAATTCATAGTATGATCGAGGATCAATTTTGTAGCCACAAGGTGGAAGTTTCTCCTTATTTATAGGGCTTCACGTTTCCAGCTAGGAAGTTTATCAGACTAGAAAATGAACCCTGTTTTTTCTCATGATAAACAGACTCAGGAGAGGGCACTGAATGCTCAGGCAAATTGGGGTCCTGCTTTTTTGTTTCTTTCATGAAGTCAAGCCTATTTTAAAAAATAAAAACAAAACCTTACAAAATGAGTGGAATTTTAAATGCTTATTTAGAAAAATTACAAATGGAAATGCACCAAGAAAGTTATTGAACTTGGGGATGAGTAGACTGGGTCTATTTATGAGCGATTTCTTCTGAAAGTAGAAGAAAATGTTGGCTGCTAATACGCCAATTGAGAGTCAAGTACTGTGAAACTTGGGTGCGTGTTTAAGGTGGTTAAATGAACCCAAACTCCCTTTTCAGATTCTCATACCTAGTCATTTGTGTATGTATGTGTTTGGTTGTGTATTTGTATATGTTGTACTTATATCTAAATATATGTGTATCTATATTCAGAAAAGAGAGGGAGATTTGTAGGAAACAACTTTTTCCATACTGATGGTGCTTCCATATCGCCCAAAATGGTTTTTTGACTTACCTTCTTTTTTTTGTTTTGTTTTTGCTTTTTTTTTTTTGTTTGTTTGTATGTTTTTATTTTGACGTGTCTTCTAAAAGAGAAACTGGTAGTAACAAGCCAAGTGTCCTCTGTAGTGATGGTTCATGTTTTGAGAAGATGGGTCTTTCAGAGGAGAATCTTATGCCTCCACGCCAGAAATGGGACATTTAGGAAATTATGGAGTCAGGGTGATCTTACCTCTTAGCAAAAAAGCATGAAAATAAGAACAGAGAAATAAAAATAAGTAGTGTTTATTGAAGGGTTATGGCAGGCTTGCAACAACTCTGTGAGATAGAAAATATAATTCTGTCCTTTTTGCAGATGACGAAACTGAGGCATAGAGAAGTTGAGTGTCGATCAAGGCCCCAGGGCCAGTAAATGGGAGAGACAGGGTTTGCACTAATGCCCTCCCACTGCATCTCCAGCTCCCGTCATGACTGTACAGACTGTGCGCAGACTTCTTCCAAAATGTGCTGAGGGAAAGGACAGTTAGGCTGAGATTCATTCTGAGCATGGATGAGGACTTCTGAGAATTACATGAGAGGACTGTGGTGATAAGCGCTGATAAACTGCAACCTCTTCATATATGTGCACATGTGTGTATGTGTATGTTTATGTGTGTCTATACATACCTAGGGAGATAGAGTATATATGCATATGTTTATATGTATGCATTTATATATAAAGAGACAGAGAGGCAGAGGCAGAGAGAAAGAGGAAGATATACCATAGAATCTACCTATTTGTATAGGTGTATACACCTATTTGTATAATCTGGTGGTTTTTAGTATAGTCAAAGAATTGTACAACCATCATCACTATCATTTTTAGAAGACTTTCATCACCTCATAAATAAATCCCAGATGTACTTATTAGCAGTTATTCTCCATTTAACCCTAACTCACCACTGGGCATACTCCCCCGCCCAACCCTAAGCAACCATTAATTTACTTTCTGTCTCTATAGATTTGCCTATTCTGATACTGTATAGATTCATGCAATATGTGGTCTTTGGCTACTGGCTTCCTTCTCTTGGCTTGTTTTCAAGGTTCATTCCTACTGGAGCATTTATCAGTGCTTTATTCCTTTTGACCGCTGACTAATATTCCATGGTATAGGTAGACCACATTTTATTTGCACGTTCATCAGTTAATAGGCATTTAGGTTGTTTCCACTTAATGGATATTTTGAAAAATCCTGTTAAGGACATTCATGTACAAAGTTTTGTGTGGATGTGTAAGTTTGGAATATAAATTAGGGGTGGAATTGCTGGGTTGTGTGATAACTCCAAGTTTAATCTTTTAAAGAATTGCTACACTGTTCCCCCAAGCAGTTACACCGTTTTCCACTCCCACCAGTAATGTGTGAGGTTTCTGTCTCCTCACCCAAAATTTTTATTATCTGTCTTTTTTATTCTGGCCATTCAAGTGGTGTGAAATGTTATTGCATTGAGTTTTTGATTTGCATTCCCCTAATAAAGGACGATGTTAAACGTCTACTGTATTTAGTTCAGCCATCTGTATATCTTTTTCCAGCCATCTGTATTTCTGCTATCTACTCAGAGACTTTGCTCATTTTTTAATTGGGTCACTTTGTATTTTTATAATTGACTTGGAGTATTTCTTTATGTATTTTATATGTATGTTCCTTATCAGATATATGATTTGCAAATATTTTCTCCCATTCTGTATATTACTTTTTTCACTCTCTTCATGAGTCTATTTCCACAGAATAAGTTTTTATTTTGATGGAGTTCAGTTTATCTGTTTTTTTCTTTTGCTGCTAATGTTTTTGGTGTCAAATCTAAGAAACCGTTGGCTAGTCCAAGGTCACAAAGATTTATACCTGTGTACTCTTCTAAGCATTTTATAGTTTTAGATTTTACATTTAGGTCTTTGATCCATTTTGAGTTTGGTTTTATATATGGTGTGAGATAAGTGTCCCAACTTCATTCTTCCACATACTGATTTCCATTTGTTCCAGCATCATGTCCTGAGAAGATCATTCATCCACCTTCCTGCCCATCACCTGTATTGTCTTGATACCCTTGTAAAAAATCAACTGACCACATGTGTGAGGGCGTTTATGTCTGGACTCTCACTTCTGCTCCTCTGTTACATATCCTTCTGCCAGTACCATACTGTTTTGATTACTATAGCTTTATAGAAAGTTTTGAAATATGGGGAGTGTGAGTCCTTCAATTTGGTCTTCTTTTTCAAGATTGTTTGGGCCATCCTGGGTCCCTTGAATTTCTATATGAATTTTAGGGTGAACATATCAATTCTTGTGAAGAAACAAGGCGGATTTAATGAGGAATGAGTCTATAGATCAAAATGGGGATTACTGCTAACTTGGCAATACATGTCTTCAGATCCTTGAACGGAAAATGTGATCAGTGACCTCTTTGTCAGTGTCTCCCAGTCCTTTGGAATTTGTTGAGAGCTGCTTTGGCTTCTGACAGGAGTAAACTGAGATGAACTGTCATGTGCTTGATTTCCTGTGTCTGAGAGCTACCTGGGGAAGCAGACCAAGGCTGGGGTAATGGACTTTATTTCCTGTCAATAGGAGTTACCCATAGACACAAGAACTCTTCTGCCCTCCAGTTTCTCCTTGACCTGCAAAAGCTGAGATAACTCTGACCTCACAGCGTGAAATTCCACCTCCCCATGTTTCCATGTGGCTCTCAGTTACTAAATGTTAAAACTGCATCACACTAAGAGTAAACCAGATTTTGTGACTTCCCTAGCATGCTTGAACTCCTCAAATAAAATGACCAGTACTAAGTTCTCCGTCATCACAATGAAGTGAAGGCATTTTGAACCCCCTGGCAAATTCAGAACTTTTCTAACAGAGAAGCCCTATCATTTGTTTTGGACCACACTCCACCAAATCTCCTTTTGTTTTATGAATACAGAGGAAATGTGAGGTGTTCCTGAACACACCAGTCACTGCTCAAGTATCTACCTGCTTTGATGATTAAGAGCCAGACTGTGAAAGGCATACTTGTGTCTACATGAGAAAAGCAGGAGATATGATTTGGCCTGAAGCCAGCCAGAAAATGTGTTTGTTGCATTCCACAGTCTGGGTCGTGGGGTAAGACAAATTACCCCATCTGGCCTTAGACCTGTGGAGCTCCTGCGGGAATGCAGTAACTTTGTCACACAGCATAATCTTGTAATACTCTGTCCATCTGTGACTGGTCTGCTTCTCCAAAGGGGAAGACACTCTGCTGCTTCAAGCTGCTCTTTACTTATCAGCCCCCTGTCTCTTTGCTTCATGGCCCCATTGTCTCATTTCTCTGGAGGCTGTTGATCTCTGAGGGCCAAAGACCACCCCAAGAATTTTTTAAAGAGAAATCATTCCCCACATTCACAGTACACACTAGGTATATGCAAATGTACATCAAGGAGAAGAAGGTTACGAACATTCCAAAAAGCTCCCCACCAACTGGACCAAGAACTGGTTCATTTTCCCAAGAGGAAAGAAGAGGGGACTCTGTGTTATTTACATAGAGCACCATTTCATTGTCAACACTGGATAGACTCATAATTTTTCATCAACAAACTTGTTTTTGAGGAAGTACCTCAGAAGAATCTTTCTCCACATAAAGAAAGCCTTGGCTTTGCATTTGGATACCAGATGCCAGGACGGATAAATAACATGAGTCTGGGGAAGTCAATGATTCCGTTTCCTCTCCTCCCTGTTGCTGAGAGTGCTGTAGCTCAAATGTGCAATATCACTGGACGGGGTAATAACTTTGGGGGTAACAGTGAGGTTTTGGTGTAGTCTAACAACAAGAGTCTAACGGGACTCTTCCCCTGACAAATCAATAAGAAGGCACAGGGTCACCAACAATGCAAGGTCATGGAGGACAGTGTGGTGGGGGATACTCATCAGACCTCTGTTTTTAGAGCCAGAGATAAGGGTGGAGAGAGCTTTG